TTAAAAAGTATCCTTCAGAAAACAGGGAGCTGCCTTCTTAAGTCCTTAGAAAGTATCTCATTGCATGAGGCTCTCAATTAGTTTATTTTGACAGCCACACACTGTATAGGAACCGAGGGAGGCGTCTGAAAGCTGGGAGCAATGTGTATGGAGGTCGCCTGGCAGAATCCACTAAAAAGATGTCAGAAATAAATTTAACTCAGATTAGTCATTTTTCCAGGAGTAGAACCTCACATTTGCAAGCATTGGCTGTCTTTGTGAATCAGCCTTTAAAACGTTTAAAAATACAGCCAGCAGTTCCACTGTGGAAACGTGATCATAAAGTCACTGCCACCTGGGCCGCCGTCCTCAGGTCCAGCACACTGGCACTTGTGGCTTGGGGAGAAATGCTCAATCATGGCACACCCTGTTCAGATTTTTTTTTTTTTTTTTTTTGAGGCAGAGTCTTGCTCTGTTGCCCAGGCTGGAGTACAATGACGCGATCTTGGCTCACTACTGCAACCTCCACTTTCTCTGGTTCATGCAATCATCCCACCTCAGCCTCCCAAGGAGCTGGGACCACAGGTGTATGCCACCATGCCCAGGTCATTTTTGTATTTTTGCAGGGAGAGGGTTTCACTATGTTGTCCAGGCTGGTCTCAGATTCCTGGATTCAAGCTATCTGCCCACCTCGGCCTCCCAAAGTGCCGGGATTACAGGCGTGAGCCGCTGCACCCGGCATGAGCAGATTTCTCAGCCGTCACGTGGATTGCAAACAGCTTAGATGGAAGTGGAGATGTCGTGCCTGGGAAACTGTGTGAGAGGATCCAAAACACGGGGACGAAGCTGCTGGTGCAGCCAAGTCCCGGGAGCACCACCAGAGGCCTGCTCCTAGACCAGTGTCTTCTTTTAGCTGTGACTTTAAATATGCATGGTGTGTGACCAAATTAACATATTAATTATTCACAGGTTGGCATCTGACACTTTCATCCACACCTATATAAAGCTCATACTTTCAAGTTGGCTAGACGGGTTTTCTTTTCTGCTGTCTCTTCTTTGGAGAAGTAGAGCCTCACATAGCTCAGGCTGGCTTGAGCTTCAAGTGCGCACGCGCGTGTGTGCATGTTTGTGTGTGTGCATGTGTGTTTTATATGTATGTTGTGTGTTTGTGTGTACCTGTGTGTACGTGTGTGTGGGATGCAAATTTGTGTATGTTTCTGTCTTTGCAGGTGTGTTTGCAGGCATGTTTGCATGTGTTTGTACGTGTGTGTGTGCATGTCTGTGCGAAGTGTGTTGTGTGTATCTGAGAGTGCATGCATTGGTGTGTGTGTGTTGATTCTGTGTGCATTTTCAAGTCTGCATTGTTTCATGTGTGTGCGTGTGTTTGTGGGCATACGTCTGCTCATGTGCAGCTGTTTGCACATATGTTGCATCGTGGCATTTTGTGCGTGCACGTGTCTTTGTGTGCGTGGACATGCAGCAGTCTGGCGTGTTCAGGGGTTCGGTTTTGTCTTGGAGCCCGTGGGAACTGTCTGATGGGGTCACCTGGCCTCACTGCAGATTGTGGCAGCAGAGTTGAGGGCTGCTGAGGGTGTAACCCCTGTGGGGCCTGGTGAGAATGGGGAGGGAGACAGGGATGGTCTCTGGGTTTCTAGCAGGGACAACCAGGTGGCTTGTGATGTCATTTACTGAACAGGGAGCAGGGTCACGGGGGAAGATAAATTGAAGCCAAGCCAAGTTGAATTGGAGGCATCTGGGATATGAACGTGCGGACGTCCAGTGGATGATCCAGGCAGGTCGGGGTGTTGGGGACGGAGCCGTGGGAACACCCATACTCAACAGGCAGAGGGTAGGACTGGGTGCCAGAGCAGAAGAGAAATCCCAAAAGCAGGGAGGAGTGATGAGGCGGGAAGGGTGCACTCCCAGGTGAGGGTAGCGGCGAGTGGTAGAGCAGTGAGCAGAGTGGAGCCAGCAGCCCACAGCGTGCTGGCTGGCGGGGGAAATGGGTGTGAGAAGGGAATGGGGCGGGCGAGGCTGCAATGAGTGGGAATCAGCCCCTTTTGTATATCTTATGCGAGCTGAGCCCCGGCCCACCCACTTACACCCTTCCCTGCTTTCATTCCTTTGCAAGCCGGGCCTGGGAAGGGAAGGGCTGGTGGGGAGGAAGCCCCCAGACAGGGCTGCCATGAATGGCAGCCGCGGGAGCCCTGGCAGCACTGGACTCTCTCCTTTGAATCCCAGGCTGCTCTGGGGTTTCACTACCGAATAGCTCAGGGGCACCCCCTCCTCTTATTCAGAAAGGCACACAGCACCATGGAAACGTCCCCAGGTTCCTGAGGCAGGCCCCATCTAATGGGGCTGGCCCTCGGGGCTGTTGCTGGGCCTGACTCCCGGGATCCAAAGGGGAGGTGCTGGCCAAAGGCCATTAGCTGGCACCCATGCAGAGACACGCCACCCTGTTCCGCAGCCCGTCATTCATATTCCAAGCCCGACAGCAGTGCTGAAAGGAGAGAGGGATTCAGAGGCTTACTTCTTTTTTTCTATGTCCCCCGGGGACCTTGGAGGAATCTCATATTTAAAATCGTCTTGGCAAGAGCTTGTGGTGACTCTCACTCGGTCTTTGAGGAGGCCCTCATGTACTCAGCACATGCCTGGAAACGCCAAAAACTAGCGGGCCGGATGGGGAAGAGGAAGAGGGTTCTCCCCGTGTGCCTGTGCCTGTGTGCACGGATGTCCATGCTCACATACTTCCATGTCTATCCATAACCCGGTCCACGGCAGATGGAAGCCTGAGGTTGGACCTTCTCTCTCCTTCTCTCGCCAGCTCTAGCTGAGAAGCCCCCACAGGCTACCTCCTCTCTGCTGGTGGGTCTGAACCCCTCAGGGAGATCACAGCTGGCGGCTGCGGTGGCAGTGAGCTTGCAGCGGGCGAGTGCCTGGTGCACCATGCTCTCCAATGCCACAGGCTCCTTCAGGCCCTACCAGCTCCTCTGCAAAGTGCAAGTCTACAAATGAACCACTTGCCAGGACAGCACACAGGCCATCGGGGTGTAAAGATGGGCTCGGGGCAGGGCGCAGTGGCTCACACCTGTAATTCCAGCACTTTGGGAAGCCAAGGTGGGAGGATCGCTTGAGGCCAGGCATTGGACACCAGGCTAGGCAACATAGCAAGACCCTATCTCTACCAAAAAATTATTTTATTTATTTATTTATTTATTTATTTATTGAGACGGAGTTTTGCTCTTGTTGCCCAGGCTGGAGTGCAATGGCTCGCTGCAACCTCCACCTCCCAGGTTCAAGTGATTCTCCTGCCTCAGCCTCCTGAGTAGCTGGGATTACAGGCGTGTGCCACTACACCCGGCTAATTTTTGTATTTTTAGTAGAGACGGTGTGTCATCATGTTGGCCAGGCTGGCCTCGAACTCCTGACCTCAGGTGATCCACCACCTCGGCCTCTCAAAGTGCTGGGATTACAAGCGTGAACCACTGTCCCCCACCCCCAAAATTTTTTATATTAGCCAGGTGCACACCTGTAGTTTCAGTCACTTGGGAGGCTGAGGTGTGAGGATCACTTGGGCCCAGTAGTTCAAGACTAGCCTGGGCAACTCAGCAAGACCCCATCTTTACGGAATTATTGTTATTATTATTATTTGAGACAGTCTTGCTCTGTTGCCCACCCTGGAGTGCAGTGGCGCCATCTCAGCTCACTGCAACCTCTGCCTCTTGGGTTCAAGCGATTCTTCTGCCTCAGCCTCCCGAGTAGCTGGGACTACAGGTGTGCGCCACTACGCACGGCTAATTTTTCTATTTTTAGTAGAGACCGGGTGTCACCATATTGGCTGGACTGGTCTCAAACTCCTGACCTCGTGATCCGCCCACCTCGGCCTCCCAAAGGGCTGGCATTACAGGCACGCGCCACTGCACCTGGCCAGAAATTTTTTAAAAAGTGGTTGGGCGGCCGGGCGCGGTGGCTCATGCCTGTAATCCCAGAACTTTGGGAGGCCGAGTTGGGCGGATCACGAGGTCAGGAGATCGAGACCATCCTGGTGAACACAGTAAAACCCCGTCTCTACTAAAAATACAAAAAACTTAGCCGGGCGTGGTGGTGGGCGCCTGTAGTCCCAGCTTCTAGGGAGGCTGAGGCAGGAGAATGATGTGAACCCGGGAGGCGGCGGAGCTTGCAGTGAGCGGAGATCGTGCCACTGCACTCCAGCCTGGGTGACAGAGCGAGACTCCGTTTCAAAAAAAAAAAAAAAAGTGGTTGGGCATGGTGGTGCACACCTATAGTCCTAGCTACTTGGGAGGCTGAGGCAAGAGGATGGCTTAAACCCAAGAGTTTGAAGCTGCAGTGAGCTATGACTGCACCACTGCACTCCAGCCCAGGCAAGACAGCAAGACCCTATCTCAATTTAAAAATGTACATATATTTACACACACACACACACACACACACACACACATATATGAGATCGATAGAGAGAAAATGGGCTTGGACAAATGCCAGAGCCAACCTCAGTAAATATGGAGGCTTCAGACACACTCCACCCAGGATTCAGGGCCCCAGGGCAGGCAGCCACAAGCGCACAAAGCCACAGATGCACCTTGTCCCATGCAACAAAATATTGGAAAACAAAACCCAGATATCAGCTCCTTCTGGTTGTTTCCATCTGTGTTTGATTCTTCAGGAAATTATTCTTTCCCTGCTCCTGAAACAAAAATGAAATCACATGTGGAGAAATAACTGCCTCACGCACGGACATTTTTGTGTCCTCACATCTCAGGAACTGAAATTCGAGGGGGGACTGGGGTGTCAACAGATGTATCCGAGTTCACGTGTGGCGGGGAGCTGGCGGCGGGACTCGTCCCTCCAGCTGGCTCCCCAACCCCAAGCCTACACGACGACCACAGCAAAATGCCAGAAGCCCGGAGAAGCGGGGTTTCTGAAGCACATCGTTTGTGCAGCCTGAGCACATGGAGCAGGAACACACCTGGAGGTAATTAAAGGGACAGCTTCACGGGCAATCAAGGCGCCCTGCAAAACAACTTTTTATTTAAAAGGCCAGTAATGAGAATAATGAGTTGCACAAGAATGAAAACCGTATCCCTTCCAAAAGATCTGCCTATACGTTCTGTATAAAATTAGAATAATTCTAAATACAAAATGCCGAAGACCAGTGGGTCCGCTCCTTCCTCTCCTGAGCCATCTCGACAGTTTCGCCTTTCAGCTTCCAGACGTTGTTTCTGTTGCTTTTGAGGGTGCTTACCCAGCCGTGGTCTGTACCAGACAGGGTAGTTGGCACAGCGTAGGCGCTGCCGGCAGGCCCTTGGGAGCTTGGCGAGGTGGGAGCCTTGAGAAATAGCTGGCTCGGACCCATGGCGGGGTTTGTGTGTCAACTCCTGGTCCTCAGAGAATCCCTGAGCCACGTGTGAGCAAGCGCTGCTTCCAAAACCAAAGGAGGAATTTTGCCATTGTTTAGACGGGTTATATTAGAATCTCATTCAGATCTTAAAGGTTATTGGTGCTTTCTGCAGAAGGTTTTTATTCCTCAAAAATGCAGCCGAGCTTTGCTGTGCTTATCTTGGTGGATCTGAGCTAGGTTGGGCGATCTCTTCCTAATTCAATTGGCTTTTTTTTTTTCCTTTTTTGCAAGGAAGGGGGTTTCTGGTCTGTTGGAGGGATCAAGGGCATGGTCCTCACGTCTCTTGTCAGGAGACAAAAATAGACATTCAGCAGACAGACCACAGCCAGAGCGTGCGACCAGTGTCGTCTGGCTATTTTAGTCTCTTCTTAATACACAGACAAATGAGCAAAGAAAAAGCTACTTTGTCCAATACTGGGCCCTGGGTTGGAGTTTAGCCCTGCTTGGCTCTGCCCGCTAGTCTCATAGTCAGGCCACTCACCCCATGCCTGGGGAAACGGTGGTCTTGGTGGTCTTCTCTGGCCCTTCCACCTCTTCTCCCTTGTGGGGACCACCCCAGCCCTCTCCCGACTTGCCCAGAGGCTGCACGCCTCTCTGGCATCACAGTCCGCACAGAAACTGGCTGTAGGACTCCACTGAAATCTCCCCGGTGCTGGCTTTGTGCCCCAGGCACACCCACCTCACTTCTGCCTCCTTTCTGCTGGTTTCTGGCCTCTTTGGTCCCAGCCCCTCCCTGCACTCTCTCTGCAGCTGTGTCTGGTGGGTGACGTGAACCAAGGGACACCCAGGGTCATGGCACTACCTGGATTCAGTTTGGTAATCCTCGGCCATCTGTCCCTGGCTTCTGAGCCTGGGGCCTCCTCCTCTTTCTCCCCCTCCTGGATGAGCAGGACACACTGGGGAGACAGCGTCCTACAAACGCCTCCTAAGAGCTGTGCCCTGTGCCAGGAAAGCTTCCCGTATCTCCAAGGATGTCCGTGGAGCCCTCCAGCTGGTGCCTCTGCTGAGGTCTGAGGGCAGCAGGAATAGGCCTCGGGGAGGAGGTGGGGGCAGGACTCTAGGGGAGAGCACACCTCCGGGGCGCTGCACCTGTGGCTCACCAGCCCCCTGCACTGGGGCCAGCTTCAGCCTCAGCAGTGTCGGCTCAACAGGTGTGGCTCTGTCAACACAGTGGGGCCAGGCCCTGGAGATGGACATTTTCTGTGTCTCCTTGTTTAAAGAGCATGTGATGGAGAAAGAGTATGTTAGTTTAACGCTGGGCTACCTAACAGCCTCTGATAGCAGATACAGCTTTGCTGCCGTTCTTTAAGTTCAAGGTGATGTGGAGGCGTTGCAGCGACAATCAGGACACCCTGAGCAACACGTGCCAGACAATCAGGACACCCTGAGCAACACGTGCCACCAACGTCTACCCCGAAGTGGTGGGCGGGACCTGCTTTGGCACTTAACCCTGGGGCAGAGGTCCCTTTCATGGGGACTCACGCTCTACTTCCAGTCTCCCCCGGGAGTTGTCTACTTTCCTAGGCCCTGCCAGTAGCCCCAGCAGCTCCGCCCAGCCTACTCCACCCATGGCTCCAACAGCCTGGCCCAGTCCATGGCTTGCCCCTCCCATGGCTCAGTCCCGTCCATCCACAGCTCACCCCTCCCATGACTAGGCTCCGCCCACAGCTCACCCCGCCCATGACAGGCCCCGCCCATGACTGGGCCCCGCCCACATCTCACCCCTCCCATGGCTAGGCCCCACCCATGACACCCCTCCCATGGCTCCATGGGCTTCTCTTCCCCTCCTGCCTAAGTTCCCGCAGGGCCAGAACCCCTGGCCCCCAGGCCCTGGGGCAGCCGGCAAGGAGGCCTCTCCGCTTGGTGCTGTCTCCAAGGAACAAAACCACACTGCAGTGTTCCAGGACCACAGAACAGCCGGGCGGGCTGTCCCCAGCAAAGGGGACTGGTGACCGGCACTGGACACTGGGCATCAGCTGAAGACACAGGCTTGAGAATGCATTGCCATTTACCCAGCGAGCTTCAAGACAGATGCTGGCTTTTAACAGAGCAGTCCAGCTGCACCAAAGGAGGACACGGTGGTTTATGTATGGAACATTCTCCGCCAAGCCTGAGGCAGGAACGCCCTCTCCATACCCGTAACCCAAAGCTCTAGGCCACTGGTTCCCAAGAGTGAGCATGTCCTGCAAAAACAGCTTGGTTTAACAAGAGGGAGCAGCTGCCACAAGAGAACAGAGGGTCTCCCGCAGCGAACATGCAGGTGTCTCACTTTCTCAGGGCTTTTGAGGTAGACTGGCTCCTAGGACTGCAGTTTGGAGCTGGCAAGCAGGGATGGCTGGGACAGAGCCCCAGGGAGTGGACCCGGGCAGGTGGGGTGAAGACAGGGGTTTACAGAGGGCCTGTGTCAGTTACACAGTCCATCAAGTTACCAGCCAGTTCAGTGAAAAAAAAAAAAAATGGACTTGACAACCCATAGACCAAGTAAGGAAAAGACATACACAGCCAGGACCCCCACTGACTCAGTTCCACCCGCTGTAGAAACAGCACCTAAGTGGAGACAGGAGCCAGGCTGCGAACCGCAGGGTGGGGCGGGTCCTGCACTTTGGGTGGCCCCATCCCTGACTGACTGGGAGAGGACAGGCTGCACTGGGGACACCTGTGTCCTCCTCCCACAGGGCAGATGGACATTCAGAGCCTCCTCTCTCTCTTCCACAAGCCACTGTGTTGGGGCCATCGGCCTTCTGACCGCTGTGGAGGACGCCCCAGGCTCAGCTTGGGTGAATCAGAAGGACGCCATGCTGCAGAAGAGGTGCCCAGGGGTTAGCCTGTCCCTGTGGCCAGAAGCCTTGGGAGAAGCCTTTGGCTGTGTAAGAAGCGGCTAACATTGGGTCTTTCCTGAGACAGCAGCCAGCCCCGGCAGGAGTCCCCACAGGGGTGCTGTGGAGATGTGGACACCAGGCCCGGGCTGTGCAGGGGTCTAGATGCCCCTGAAGGCCCACCCAGGTCTAAGGCTCTTCCTCTTGATGCCCCAGCAGGGGCTAATCTCACACACAAGCAAGAGATGGGCACTGGACAATGCGCTTCCCCCAGGAACTCCTTCCTAGGCCTCTGCAGCTGCTGCCTCCAAGGGCTCCTCCCAGGCCTCCGCAGCTGCTGGCTCCCCAGGCTCTGCATGCCCAGCCCAGCCCAGGCCAGCAGTGGAGCTGGGAGTGCAGAGGCCGCACACATGGGGTGATGGGGACTGTCCCAGACACCACATGCAACACACCCCAGCACGAGCCTGTGCTCTCCCTTGGAACGACGAGCCTGCCTCCTCACCCTCCTCTCCTCTCCTTCCCCCGGGTGGCCCCACAGAGGCTGAGACACCTGCTGCCGGTTTGGGAACAGACATCACCCTGATGTTCTCAAAAGCAAGTGTGATGCTGCTTTTGTGGTTATAATTTGGAATTAAAGAGAAGACTTTGTCTCCACAGTGACAGAATCCAACCAAACTCCTTCCTGGGAAGGGCAGCTGTGGAGGGCGGTGCTCCAGGGGTCACGAGGGTAACGGGAAAGGACGGTGTGAGCAGGTGGGGCATGGCGTACGCTCATTTGGGGACCTGGGTGTCTTTAGCTCCTCACTGGCTTGGGACATGCCGTGTTTTGCTGTGGGGATGGGGGGAAGCCGGTCTCACACCTTCCTAAGGCACAGCGGGGCGCCTCTGCCTGGCCTACTGGGCCGAGATCGAAGCAAATCCTGGTTGTCGTGGGTGTCACCAGGAAGAGCAGGCGTGGTGTTGGCGCTAGCTGCAGATAGCAGCTCCTCATGGTCAAGGTCGTGGGCAGGTGGCGAGGTGGTCAGATAACATGTCACTACAGGGCTCCCTGGTGTCCGCGAGCTCACGGCAGACGTGTCTGTCGCCACTGAAAACCCACCATCCGAGCTGCAGCTGGAGACGAGGGAGATGCGAGCCGCTGGCCCTCCCCGGAGAATAAAGTAAAGGCATTTGGGTTTCCTTCCACAAACAAAAGCACAGAGAGACGATGCAGATGTTGAGAGGTTAAGTAGGTATCATTCTTCTCCTAACACGACAAATTATCTTTCCAGTCGTGGCTCCTACATCCTCAGCAGTGCTGCCATCACGTCATGGAGACAGTGACGGGGACCTAGACTGGAAAGTTCTTCTTCGTGGGCAGAGATGGGGCGATGACAATATCGTCGGAATCATCGGAGTTGACGTCATCCCCAGGTGGAGGTGCCACGGACTGCGGCCCTGCGGGAGAGGGGTCTGTGGAAATGAACCACAGGGAGACAGGTCAGCCACGCTGACCTCAGGGGCTGACACCACGGACACCCTTACACTGTCTGGTCTTCCCCGGCGGGTAAGACGGCGGCTACCCCCAGAAGCAGTAAGCCATGGGGCACACAGGCCCGCAGGACCAACTCACACACCTGCCAGAAAGCCTCACTCTCCTAGCCTTCACACTCAGCTCTGGTCACCATTCGCCAAATCCAAACTCCTGCAAAAGCGGACATTTGCCAGCACGGAGGAACCTCGAGTCTGCGCCAGAGGAATTCCCTGGAAGCTGTTCCCACAGCAGTAGCCCAGGAGTCCAGGGCCTGGCCGGGCAGCTACCTGTGTGTAGGAGCATTTCTGCTGGGTGCAGTGGCTCACGCCTGTAACCCCAGGACTCTGGGAGGCCGAGGTGGGAGGGTGGCTTGAACCCAGGAGTTCTAGACCAGTCTGGGCAACACGGCGAGACCACATCTTAAAAAAAAAAAAAAGCCAGCTTCCCTGTTAACTCGCTGGCCACTGGTATGGAAGGCAGGAGGGGGCAAGGCACGGATCGCTGTGAGCCTGCAAGCTGCTCGGCCATTCCCCTTTGGATGCTACTTCCTTCATAAGCATCTAGAGTGTTCAGAACTCTTAATCCACTCTAGAATGGGAAGCCACCTACAGACGGGATGGGGGTGGGTACCAGAGCTGAAGAGGGGACCGGCCCTACCACACCAGCAGCCCCAGAGCTCCTTGCGAGGGAGCCTGACTCTTACTGCCTTGAAAGATGAAAGTAAAAAAGTAACGAACTGCTGATGTGAGATTTTAAAAAGGGAAGGAAATGGCAACTCGGCCATGCTGCAGATACTGTAACTGTGTCAGCTTTTTTTTCCTGCCACTTCCAAGAAAACTCATATTAAAGGGGAACCTTACGAAATTAAAAACAGTTTTCATGGTGATCTTCAAAAACAACCAATCACCTTAAACAAAAGCTCGACGTCTACTTTTCACAGAGACATTTCCTTAGGTCAATCAAGCTGAATCCCTGGGTCACTGGGATGAACTTGCCCCTTCAAAATCACTTGCGTTTAGCAAGAGAAAAGGGCAGCACCAAGGCCCGCTTTAGCCCCTGATCAAAGCCTCTAAAGGTCGCCAAACGCAGGGTCTGGTGAAGCCGGCGGAACAATGGAAAGCCTTTTGCAGAGCCCGTGAGTCACAGGCCGGCCGGCGGCTCTGCGTGTCTGCACATTCTCCCCGAAACCCCACGGGGCTCCTCTTTTGGTTGAGCTTTACAAATGGAGGTTTTGGAGCGAATAGCAAAGTTCAAAGTTTTCTAGCTCTGACGAAACTAGGTTAAAAACTGACTGAAAAGAAGAAAACGTGATTTCATATGTGGCATTTCCAGGTCAAACGTGGTGTACAGTTCTTAGCTCGTGCAGGAGACTCTCTCAGACACAGCCCCTAGCGGGACCTGCTGGGGAGGGAAGGCTTTCGGGCTCCAGGTCTGATGTGGGCCCCAAAACGGCCTCTTCCCGACTCCGTGTCATCACAGGAGGGATCTCCTAGGAAAGCAAGGCCTCGGCCCACCATGGGCCCCCACACTTACTGCAGTGGTGCTGGGGGGCTGCCGCCTCCCTGGGCCCGTCCTGAAGGGACATTCTCATTAAGGCGTGTGGGTCCCGGGCAGGCCTCACCCTTCCTTCACCCCCGGCCTTCATCACCCTCATCCTTTGGTCTCAGAAGAGCCTCTTCCTTTGTGGCTTTCCTTGCTGTTCTGTCTCCTCCCTCCCTGACTCCACCCTGGAGACCTAAGGACTCAGCACAGCAAAGCCCTTTACCTAACACTTCCCACGCGAGATGGCCCACACGCCACACTCCTCAACAGGTCTCAAGGCTGCCCTTCTCCATCTCCTGACAGTCCCGCGTCTCGACACTGCGTCTCTGCACTCATCCTCCCTTTACGGCTTGAAGTATCAGTGAGGGGTTTCTAATTGCAGGATAAGACACGGGATCTCAAGTCTACGCAGAGCAGCATAGATTTGGGGGTGCAGAGTAGCTTTTGAGCTGTCTAGCCCGTTCTCTACTTTGCACATGAAGGGACTGACGGCCAGAGAAAGGCAGGGCCCTGCTGGGGCATCCCCGTCAGCTCCGGGTAGCTCCGGCAGAGCAGGGATGAGGCCTCACCCGAGGGTGTGGCATCCTGCAGCGCCAGCGGCTTCTTCACTGACTGTTTTTGGGCTTTAACAAAATAGAAAAGGAAACAATAACACAGTTTTACTTAACAAACAAATGGGAGAAATGCTGGCCCGAAGGAGGAAGCCACCTCGGTCCCATTGGAGCTGAGAGCAAAAATAAAGACAGCGAGGACCTCTGCAGTCCCAGGGACAAGGACCTCTGCAGTTCCAGGGACAAGGGACAAGCTGGGCCAAGGGGGGCTCTGTTGGGGGCCTTCCTGGCATAAGGCGACGCTTAGTTCAGAGGCAGCTCCAGATGGGACACTTCTCCCTTCCGTCCTGACACAGCCCGGGCTTCCTGGAGGTGGCCACTGTTTGGCTGGGACCTCAGCAGACCAGCTGCCCTGGTGCCAGAATCCAAATGAATGAAATTACCAGGAGGAGCTGCGAGGAAGGGTGGGGAGGAGGCGTCCCCGTGTGTGGCTGAAGCCGATCTCCTCTTCGTAGAAGCTGCGGCGGTGGTTCTTTTACCGGTAGCGCTGGAAAAAAGAAAACGCCAGCTGATTCTGCCTTTAGGGAGTACAAACCTCTCTGAGGTTTACGACAAGCCTCACTAATTTGCCTGGAGGCAAGTATTCCAATGAAAGCAAACACACAGCCACGCCGGAGCCCCACGGCCAGCCCTGTACCCAAGATGCACCCAGGGTCCAGAAACGTCCGGCCATGAAGAGCCTCAGACACGTCCCCTATCCATCTCCTCAGGGACCATGCTGAGGTCAGGCCAGTACAGTTTTATAAGCTGGCCTCAGACGGCTCCCTTCCCTGTCTCCTGTCTGGGCTGGCCCAGCTGCCATTCCCCAGGGAAGTGGTTGCAGGTTGCATGGCCCTCCACGTCCTGGCTGGGGCTCGCTGCCCAGCGACGGGTCCCCGACTCCTGAGCCCATGGTGTGTCCCAGGCCACATGGGATCAGGACCACGAGATGCAGATGCGGCCTTGGAGGGAGAAACTGCCCACTTGGAAGTGCTGGGTGGCTGCGCGTCTCCACCATGAAGGCCGAGAACCAGAGTAGTCTGTGATAAGAGGGGAACAAGCCCCACGCAGGGTGAAGCAGAGGAGGGTGAGGGAGTGGGGCCGTCTCTTCCCTCTACTCTAAACTGCCCCTCTACCCAGGCTCACTTCAAGGGGTTTTGATTTCTGCAACCAAGAGAGTCCTAGCGAATCCACCGGGAGGCCTGTAGGAACACTGCCATCTAGACCCTGCACGCATCGCCTGTCATATGCCGTGTCCAACACTGAGGTCACATCACAGTTTTCTTTCAAAGGGATGACATATCGGCACAGCCGAAAGCCAGGCCAGACTGATGGCGACCTGAGCTGCATGGTTTCTGAAGCTCCTCCTTATCTCCTCCCAGTAGGGAAGAAGCGACTCTAGAAAGGGCTCCCGAGGATCAGAACTTCCAGCCCGCTCCACGTCCGTGGTGCAGCAGGGAGTCCTCACGACGCGAAGCCTTTACTCAGGCCCCAAACTGAGGTCCCGCTGGCAGGCAGCAGGTGCTGCTCCAGTTCCCACTACATGCCCTGCGCCCAGTGCTCTGTGCCCACTACAGTGGGCAGCCTCCTGCGCCACATCTGTGTCCCGGGGGCATCCCTGTGACCCCGACTCACCTGTGCCTGGCCCGGGCCAGGTGTGCCCGCAGAGCGGACTGGATGATGACGATGGCCTCCTCCTGCGCAGGGCTGCCCTCGGCCTGGGCGATGGGGCTCGGAACACGGGGCACAGGAGAGCTCTGGGGCACAAGGACAGTAGGGAAGATGACTGTTTGGCAGCCCCCTGGTGGCTCCTGATGCTGGGCTCCGGGGACACCCTGGGTGTAAGGGAGACGGGAAGAGCTCAGTTTCCATTTCAGGTGGCCCTGCCTCCCGGGAATTGCTGGTCAGTGAGCAGCCTCCTAGCGGCAGGTCCTGAATTTTTAAACTGTAGGGATTCTTAAACAAACACCTGGTCCTCCTTACAGAGGAGGGGCTGGCATGGCCTGCGTCTATCTTCGGTAGTTTTTAGCTACATCTTCATGGAGCTATTTGACTCTCCGGCAGCTCAAGGCAATCTGGCCCTAATGCCATTCCCATCCGGGGCCTGTGCAGAGGGGCCTGCGTGGCCTACATGGCCAGGGATGGAGTGGAGGGGATGCCTGCTGGGCGGGCGGGGATGTGGAGGCTGAGAGGTGCCCTGCGCTTTCTCAGTGGATGGAGTGTGAGATGAGCAGCTCTGGAGATGGCCACTGGAATGTCCAGCGCCCCGATGTTACCTGGTCTGGGAGGCCTGGCATGCTGGGCGGCTCTGAGCCATGTGCTTTGCTTGCTAAGAGCTTTGTCCGTGCCACATGTCCCCTGAAAGCTGCCTGAAGCACCACAGCCGCCTGTCAGGGAAGGAAGCAGGGAGAGAAAAGCGGGTGTGAGTGCCCAGGGCGATGGCGGGCAAGAGGGAGGTGCCGAGGGGAGAGCTGCCTCGGCGGTAGGGAACGCAACTCCTCTCACTGCTGCGCAGCCATAGTCTCCCAAAGAGCCTTCTGCGCTCCCACTCACCCCAGTCCGTCAGAAACTCACTGGCACCCCAGGGAGCACAGGGCGCGGCGCCTGTTAGCACGGTGGGGACTCTGGGAATGGGAGGGGCCTGCTGTTCACTGCAGTCCCTTTCAGTGGCTAATAGGGGCTGGTATTTCACACGTGGTTATGTTTTCATGTTGGAGCATTTTTCCGCGTTGGAATAGTTTACTGGTTTCATCTACTTTCCATATACGTTTTCTAAATCAAGCAAGGGGCAACAGGACCTCTAAAGTGATCTTAAGAGAATGATTTATCCTTTGAGCTTAATCTTAAATGATTTTCTTAGGCAATGTGGCCGGGTGCAGTGGTTCATGCCTGTAATCCCAGCACGTTGGGAGGCTGAGGCAGGATGATCACTTGAGGCCAGGAAATTCAAACCAGCCTGGGCAACATAGCAAGACCTTGTGTCTACAAAAAATTAGCTGGGCATGGCATACACCTGTCATCCAGTGCTTTGGGAGGCTGAGGTGGGAAGATCCACTGAGCCCAGGAGTTTGACACCAGCCTGGCCAATATGGTAAAAACCCATCTCTACTGAAAATACAAAAATTAGCCCGGCGTGGTGGTGCATGCCTGTAGTCCCAGCTACTCAGGAGGCTGCGGCATGAGAATCGTTTGCACCTGGGAGGCAGAGGCTGCAGTGATCCAAGACTGGGCCACTGCACTCCAGCCTGGGTGACACAGTGAGACTCTATCTCACTCCGTGAGAAGTCTACGCTCCATTTTCGGGGAAGCACTTATTTTTGAACAATCTGCCTCTAACCCCGTGAGCGCCCCCAGCCTGATACGGGCAGCTCTCAAACACGTTAGGAGAATGACAAGTGTGCCCACCGGGCCCCACGCCAAGCGAGGTTAGCAGGCTTGCCACTGCTGGAACAGAAAGCACCTTTGTTTTGTCTTAAAGCAAGGGGAAGAACGCTGGGGTGGGAAAAGAGCTCAGCAGAGGAGGGCGAGGCAGTGCTGGCTATCAACAATGAATGATCCGCCAGAGTGCGGTGACCACATGGAGGCTGCCCAGAAGCTTCCGGTAAAGCGGCTGCCAGGTATGGGGCGTTCTGCACCAGCCGGAGGGGTAAGAGGGGCACGCATCTCTGTCACGCCACACACTGCGCACACACTGCCAAACCCCACGCTCACCACAGCCCCACACAGGCAGCCTCACTGCTGTCTTTACAGATGAGGACCCTGAGGCATGGGGGGGTGCCAGGGAGAGAAGCAGGATGGGGAGACAGCACCCACCACTGACTGGCCCATTGGCCGAGGAGCCCGGGTCCCCTCACCCACTCGCTGGAGGGCATTTACCAAACGCCTCCCACATGCCAGGCGCTAGTCTAGGCACCAGAGGTGTTGTGGCAAAAAGACAGAGCTTGCATTCTGATGGGAGGCTGGCAAGAATAACCACAAAGTGAGATGCCAGGCAGGGGCATGTGCTAGGAACCGCAGCCGGCTGCGGGGACTGGGAGCCTGGGCAGGCTGTGGTGCGTGGGCAGGTGGGAGGCTGACGTGCTGGAGACCTCGAGATGAGGGCCTGAGGGCTGCTAGAGGATGGGAGGGATTGTCAAGAGACGGGGATGTTGGAAGTTGCCACTGCAAATGTGTCAGATGGGTATGGACAAGGGTGTGGCTGTGGGGCAGGTTCAGGGACGAGGAGGCCAGGCATGGAGGGGCTGCAGAACTGAAGGCTGAAGACTAGGGCAGTGGTGAGCAGGGGGCCCTTCCTCAGGGACAGTGTGGTGAGCCAGGTGGGCAGTCCAGCTACCTGCTCATGGAGGGCGCTCACGCGGCTGTGGCCTGGCCGCCAGATGCCAACATTCTCCCACTGCAGCTGCGCGCAGGCCACCGAGCCTGGTGCGCCGCCCACACCCGTGACCATACTGGCTGTCCTGACTGCAGAGTATGAACCCCGTGAAATTTGGACAGTGTCTGGCTGGTCTGTTACAAGCTCCTCTCGTGCCTGGCACATGGCAGGAGCCCAGCAAACAGTTGTGGATGAGTAGTGTGGCCAAGGGGAAGGGGACAATGGGTGGGGCAGGGGGAAGGCAAGCCCCGCCCTGATGGCAGAGCTGTCAACCCTGCTGGCATCAGATGCACCTGGCGAGTGTGAGGACAAGCGGGTGCAGGGTCTGCCCTACCACGGAGAAGCAGCTGCCGGCAAGGAAGAAGGCAGCGTGAGAAGCCCTGTGGCCCAGCGCCCGCTCTGAGTGACTGGAGCTGGGGCCTCTCCCGTGGTCTAAGTGGAAATACACTGCCGTCCCCTAAGGGGCCCTAGAGGAGAGGCGAGCATCTCCGAGGCCACCAGGACTCTAGCAAAATAACGATCTCACTTTCCAGCTCCTCCCTGAAAAGGATCATGGCTGGAACTGCACTGTTCATCCATCTGTCAGTTCTCAGCTGTGGGTGACATACTCAACCTCCATTCCAGTTCCACGCCCTCGCCCCGTCTCAGACTGCTCATCCCGCTGGCTCTGCTAGGACGCCCTCCCCTCACTTCCCGGTGCAGCAAGCTCTGACATCTGTCCCACGAGGCCCACCTTGCACGTCACTCCTCACAGGGACCTCCTGGCCTTTGTGTGCAGGGCTGGCCGCCCCCAGCGCCACCCTGGGCTGTAACCGCTTGTTCACTTGTGTGTCTGAGCCTCTGCGTCCCAGAGCCTCTGAGACTGTCCTACGCAGGGCTGGTGATCAGTGAATGTGCATGAAAAGAATGAATGGAAGGAAGGAATGATTGAAGAGATTTTGAAAGTGGGAAATTATCCAAATATTTATTTGATGTTTCTATTTCTTATGTATGTTATACTTAATGTTGGGGTCTGGTTTGGTTTCTTGAAAAGAAGGACTCACTAGGTGCGGTGGCTCATGCCTGTAATTCCTGCATTTTGGGAGCCCAAGATGGGCGAATCACCTAAGGTCAGGAGTTGCAGACCAACCTGGCCAACACGGAGAAACCCCACCTCTACTAAAAACACAAAAATTAGCCGGGTGTGATGGCGCGCACCTGTAATCCCAGCTACTAGGGAGGCTGAGGCAGGAGAATCGCTTGAACCCAGGAGGCAGAGGTTGCAGTGAGCTGAGGTTGCACCACTGCACTCCAGCCTGGGCCACACAGCGAGATTCTGTCTCAAAAAAAAGAAAAAAAAAAAGAAAAGAAAAGGACTCAACGCATCTTTAAATATCCCCTCACCTACTTTACAACAAACTACAAATCCGTATTTTGAAACTGATGAAATAAACCTCACTTACCTCATCCAGAACAGCTTTTTTTTTCTGAAAAAAAGAAAAAATACATGAATAAACACAAGAAGGATGAACGTTTCCCCACACAGTGGTTTTCAGTCCTTGATCTTGCCAACAGGCGTCCATCAAGCCAACAAGAGGCCTGGCTGCCCTGGCTCCTCCCTCCCGAGCTGCTGGGGCCCAGCAAACAAACGCCTTTGTAAGGAGGACGAAAGTGAGAGGCAGAATGAGGATGGCGGGAATTCTCCGGGAGTCACGAGGTGGCCCAAGCTGCAGATGAAGGGATGTGTCTGTGCCGTGTGCCGGTCCTCTGGCTGTGCAGAAGGGACTCCATTAGGCCAAGCTGTGCAGCTAAGGAGGTGGATGTGGGCCCGATGTGAGAGCCCTCTCACATCACAGGTGTCCGGACCACTGTCCTTTCTGGATAAGTCCCGGAATTCGGAGGCTGAGGCTGCCTGCTGGGGAGGTTATGAAGGGGACTTTGGTTCAGGGGTCTGGATCACTGGCCTCAACCTGACTGATCATCAGTCACCCTTGGGTGTCCTGGGAAGTTTCTGTGGCTGCAGCTGACACACAGCGTCACAGTCAGCAGAGAGGGTCCCTCGGAGCACGTGTTCTTACAGATGTGAACGAAGTCCTTCCCAGATGTTGACGCCAAAATAATCAATATACACTTAATGAAATGGAATGGCCACGGCCAGATAACAGGTACATCAGCCAGCTGATTTTCCATAGTCATCAGAGTGCTCAGCCCACATGTGTACTACTGTACACAGGATCTGTCCCTTGGGAGATTAAGGAGGAACTGAGTACAAGGACCAACAGAATGTAAGATGGAAGCAAAGAGATATATACACTGAATAAGAGAGAGACAGAGGCCGGGCGCGGTGGCTCAAGCCTGTAATCCCAGCACTTTGGGAGGCCAAGACGGGCGGATCACGAGGTCAGGAGATCGAGACCATCCTGGCTAACACGGTGAAACCCCGTCTCTACTAAAAAATAGAAAAAACTAGCCGGGTGAGGTGGCGGGCGCCTGTAGTCCCAGCTACTCGGGAGGCTGAGGCAGGAGAATGGCGTGAACCCGGGAGGCGGAGCTTGCAGTGAGCTGAGATCGGCCACTGCACTCCAGCCTGGGCGACAGAGCGAGACTCCGTCTCAAAAAAAAAAAAAAAAAAAAAAAGAGAGAGAGACAGAGAGAGACAGACAGACAAGCCAGCATCTGCTCAGCACCTGAAGGGAAGTCACTAAGTTTTCTCCCACCTTTTTGGGAGGACCAGGAGTCGGCCCCGCTAATAAGGAAACTGCTCTTCAGACGAAGACAGCTGTGACATGAAGGACACGAAGGCCACAAGGGGAAAGGTGGTGGGGACAGACCTCATGGAGGCCAAGCTGTCCCCTATAAACTGCTGGCTAGTTACCAAGGGAAACTCGTTTCTTTAAAATGGCGAAAGCCAGCAGCCATGACCAGGTTAGAAACACAAACAGGGGCCGGCCTGAGGGGATGGGGGTACACAGCCTAAATGTGAGACATTCTTGCCAAAAGCAAACCTGGGTGAATCAGAGCTGGAGACCTTATTTCTCACTTATGGGAAATTCAGGGGACAGAGGAATAAGTTAATGACCCCACAAGGAAACAGATCCAGGACAGGGAACATTCTGTAACACACTGGCCTGCTCTCTGCCAAAGATAATGTCCTTAGGCCGGGCGCGGTGGCTCACGCCTGTAATCCCAGCACTTTAAGAGGCCGAGACGGGCGGATCACGAGGTCAGGAGATCGAGATCATCTTGGCTAGCACGGTGAAACCCCGTCTCTACTAAAAAATAGAAGAGGTTGCACCACTGCACTCCAGCCTGGGCCACACAGCGAGATTCTGTCTCAAAAAAAAGAAAAAAAAAAAGAAAAGAAAAGGACTCAACGCATCTTTAAATATCCCCTCACCTACTTTACAACAAACTACAAATCCGTATTTTGAAACTGATGAAATAAACCTCACTTACCTCATCCAGAACAGCTTTTTTTTTCTGAAAAAAAGAAAAAATACATGAATAAACACAAGAAGGATGAACGTTTCCCCACACAGTGGTTTTCAGTCCTTGATCTTGCCAACAGGCGTCCATCAAGCCAACAAGAGGCCTGGCTGCCCTGGCTCCTCCCTCCCGAGCTGCTGGGGCCCAGCAAACAAACGCCTTTGTAAGGAGGACGAAAGTGAGAGGCAGAATGAGGATGGCGGGAATTCTCCGGGAGTCACGAGGTGGCCCAAGCTGCAGATGAAGGGATGTGTCTGTGCCGTGTGCCGGTCCTCTGGCTGTGCAGAAGGGACTCCATTAGGCCAAGCTGTGCAGCTAAGGAGGTGGATGTGGGCCCGATGTGAGAGCCCTCTCACATCACAGGTGTCCGGACCACTGTCCTTTCTGGATAAGTCCCGGAATTCGGAGGCTGAGGCTGCCTGCTGGGGAGGTTATGAAGGGGACTTTGGTTCAGGGGTCTGGATCACTGGCCTCAACCTGACTGATCATCAGTCACCCTTGGGTGTCCTGGGAAGTTTCTGTGGCTGCAGCTGACACACAGCGTCACAGTCAGCAGAGAGGGTCCCTCGGAGCACGTGTTCTTACAGATGTGAACGAAGTCCTTCCCAGATGTTGACGCCAAAATAATCAATATACACTTAATGAAATGGAATGGCCACGGCCAGATAACAGGTACATCAGCCAGCTGATTTTCCATAGTCATCAGAGTGCTCAGCCCACATGTGTACTACTGTACACAGGATCTGTCCCTTGGGAGATTAAGGAGGAACTGAGTACAAGGACCAACAGAATGTAAGATGGAAGCAAAGAGATATATACACTGAATAAGAGAGAGACAGAGGCCGGGCGCGGTGGCTCAAGCCTGTAATCCCAGCACTTTGGGAGGCCAAGACGGGCGGATCACTTATGTATGTTATACTTAATGTTGGGGTCTGGT